GTGTCTTGCAAACATCATAGCAAACATCATTGGACATAGCAAACATCATTGGACATAGCAAACATCATTGCACATAGCAAACATCATTGCACATAGCAAGCATCATTGCACATAGCAGACATCATTTCACATAGCAAACATTGCACATAGCAAACATCATTGCACATAGCAAACATCATTTCACATAGCAAACATCATTGCACATAGCAAACATCATTGCACAGAGTAGAAAAGTGCGTGTATCTTACAGTAATCAACTAAAACAACAAAATTTTGCAGCGATGACATTTTCTTTGAAATCATGTTTATTTCGGACCACAGCATCCCTAAATAATATAGAAATAAATATCTGTCTTCAATCTAAAATTTGATGAGCCACTCATGTTTCGTCCTCGGTGAGACTTTGAATGAAAGTCCCGTATACTCCACAGCAAAGTTAAAAAGAGTTACGTCAGTCTGCAATCGAGAAAATGGAATCTGAATAGCGCCCTCAACGACACTGTATTTGCTATGATACAGAGGGCGCACTGGGGTTCACGCTTCTGTAAATGTATCTTACAAACGAATCTACTCGTACAATCCAAACAAATATCTTCAAGATAGAATCCACACTGCGTGAGCGTCAAATACTAATTTTATGTTCCATTATATAAATCGGTTATAAATGTTTATTTCGCGGTAACTGGGCTTATATTTTATTTTATTGGAAAAATGCCAACAAATAAACAAGTGGTTTACTTGGAGTCCATCTGACCTTGAAAAGTATAGTTCGTGCATTTATTGGGTTCGAGGTGTGTGGGATATGATGCTCTAATCTACACTTCTAAAGTAATATGTGGGAGATTGGGTGTTTTATAAATAAGAATAAGGACAAATTTGGTAAGTACATGGCGAAGTTTGCCAATTAGACCGAATAATGGGGCAATCTTTGATAGCACGTTCTCTATATGTGATTTCCGGATCAGATGATTGACAATGGTCACACCGAGATACTATGTTTAAACAACCAGGTTACTGTTATCAATGTTACTTGGCTGTTTCTTTGACGTGAGGAAAAATGTGTGTTTGGTTAGATTTCATTTTGAGTAAGCATGTCATATTTGAGTAAGCATGTCATATTTGAGAATGGGCGGAAGATGCAAACAATTGGATACGAAAGACAACTGGGAAGAGCATTTTTAATAATAAGGAATAATAGAGGTCAAAATAGAGCCTTGGGATATTGCATTATCATTCGTCAATGTTGATGAATTACAACGAATTACAACATGGACTTATTTCTTACTACTGAATATCTAGCTTTTGATGCAATGTAATGGCAATCTACGGGTGCAATAAAAATGTAATATTAATGAAAGTGTATTATGATTTAGGGTATCAAATGTTTTTTTCTTTCAACCCAGAAATATTGTAGAACAATATTTTCGGTATCACGGGAATCAGGTTTTTAGTTTAGAAAGAGTCCCATTCAGATTTATGTAGAGGCAGAGGCGAACTCATTCGCCGATAGTACTATTGAATCTCATATGAACCGTTAGTCGTGATCTGTCGCGTATAATGGGTGCGATTCGTTTGATTTCCACGTATGGACGAGGAAAACAGTGTAAAATACGTCAAGTTTTTCCACCGCCAGGTTCATTCTTTCATACTCAAACACGACTAAGGGAAGCCATGTATTGCATTTTTGACGCAACCCATTGTATTTGTTGATGATATCCATCTTGTCAAGGTAGAAAACAAGATTTGATGACAGGATACACAAACAATATTATTTTTCCAAAGTTGAAGTGTATATTTGTAAGGTGCGTAAAGATTCTCCATACCGTGAGATATCCTATTGTGCACTGCTTATTATTATTCGTAAATTTGGGAAATACTGTATGTTATCATGTTCAGCTTCTTTTCCGCATAATAAATGTAAAGTGTGCGAGTTCTCCAAAAGATATTTGACTAAACTAAGTGAAGCTAAATGTATATCAATAAATTTTAAAACAGTTAAGAAATTCTACTGAAACATTATGTTTTCTGACATGAAAATAGCAAATGAAGTCTCACCATCTAAACCCCATCGACAAATAACTGTTATACAATGTAATCTCCCAACAGAGACAGCGGTACGAAATGCTACATGGAGGGGGAGATCTACTAACCAAACTTACTATTTACTGCTATTTGGGGGACAAATTGTGCTGATACAAGGGGTTTCAGCTCGATTTTGGAGGGGCGACCACCTCCCAACATTTTTTTCGGGGGCGACCGCCCATTGGTAAACTCCAATTCCCTCTCATATTTTTTTATATGGTCTTCTGCATCGATATATTGCCCATTCTGGCAATAATGATACTTAACGCTTTCATTTAATTCAAATTACCAGACTACCAATCTTGCCATTCTAATGACTTATTATACTTATTAATAAAGATATCATACAACTAATCAACAAGAAAATCATAAAAATCTTTATTTCTCTGTTTTTTTTCTGTAGTTTTTGCCTTATTGTACCCTCTCTATCCACTGGGATACGGTTTCAATAAAGATTATTACATGTAATATCATTTCGAACTAATATCAATATTCATTGTAAGTTGATTTTCACATTATTTGTATATTATATGCATTGGTCTAATTCCTTTTACGCCTTGATCTCACTACATGGTACCGTGTCAATATTGTCAATTTCAAAACTACACACACGTATAAAGGCGATATTTAAATCGATACTGTTCTGTATTCACAACACGTCGTGACCTCTGACCTGTACGTATGTGTTACACCTATACTGTCAGAGATGGCTGAACAAGAACTGCAGAATGGCGACATGCCGTCGTCCTCGACAGCTAGTGAATTTAGTTACTACTACATGGGCAAAAAGATGCCAGCCCACGCCCCGGTATCGACGCTAGAAGGAATCAAACACTCATTTAAAGTGCGAAACGATGATGTTTATGTGGTCAGCTATCTCCGATCGGGTAGGTTTCGCATTACTTTAAATTATTTTCACCCCTCCCCAATAATTGTAATCATTTTCACCCCTCCTCCTTAATTGTAACAAATATCTGCTTCCGTGTTAATTGTGCGATAGTAATAATGATATTATTAAATCGTATTCTCATTGGGATCTTGATAAAGTTGTACAATATAGTATTATCACTGCATATGGCATACGACATTCGTGTTCTAGACCGGATTCGCGTCTGTCAGCTGACCTTTTCTCAGTTGAAAGTGACGCTGTAGTATGTCCATTGGGGAGTACATCAGTCAAAGAAAACTATTGTATATTATTCGTTACGCAATTGTGTGACGCCCTTCGAGCAGTATTTAGACTTTAGGAGTTGTGCACCAAACTCCCGACCCAATTATGATGGAAAAGGGAACAAGGCTACTTATTTAAATAATGGGTGTGTTTGTGGCATTACAATAGAAACCGAATTCTTTTCATGCGTTCTACGTAAAAGGGTTAGTTTCCACAGTGTAAGGTATTGTGTACGAATGACTACATTCCAATTGTGTACTGTAGTATGAGTAACGCGACTCGTATTATCACAAAATAAAGGCGAATGTCCCATATAAAGTGGAAACATTTTTAAAAAGCCTAAAACGCTCTTATCGTGAATACTGTTTCAAGTTATTGTCAATTTCTGAGTGAAATGAAACTTAATTGTTTAATTTAGGAGGCATACTTTCACAATTACAATTACAAGGACAGTCTGAGCAGAGTTTACTCTAGTAATGCTAGAGATAGAGGAATCAATACCCTATACATTTAGGAAGTCTATTCTATACAGAATTCGCAAACAAGCTCTAATTTTCGCATACGGCTCGGGTATGAAGGATAATCAATGCATTCACCAATACTGCTTTTTTTCAGGCATGACTATGATGCAAGAGATTGTGTCGTGCATCAATGCAGAGGGCGACATGGACAAAGTTAACAAACCGCTTTTAGTTCGTGTCCCACTACTTGACACGGGCCCGGGTGCAGGCATAGAAACACCTCTGTATCAGAAAGTGGCTGAACTACCATCACCCCGTTTAATACGTACACACCTTCCTCATGAGTGGATGCCAACGGAATATGATGAAAAAATGCCAAAGGTAACAGAGAATACCAGGAAGACTGTATATAATATTTAAATTACTTCACCAATTGGTACACCAAGAATAAACAATAAACACCCATCTTTACCAGTTTACATTTTACTGGATGGCCGTAATAACTTTATATGCTTGCGAACTACTCCGGCAAAATGTTCCACGCAACGCCGGACCGAACAAATCCACAATAAGAGTTGCTAGTGTGAAACTGTCCCGGTGTCACGTAGTATATTGGCACATTTATATAACACTATTTACGTCACTTTTTTTAGACAGTGGTTTTAGCGAGAAACCCAAAGGACCTGGCAGTCTCGTGTTGGTATTTCACTAATGGTCATAGATATCTCGACACCATTCCTGAATGGAACGATTATTTCAACATGTTCTACGAAGGCGACGGTGAGACTAACATACTGAATCATTAAGCAGTTTTGTTTCTTTCTCAGTATGTGGTACAAGTTTGTCTGATTACCTGTGTAAAAATTTTAATCATATTACGGATATTCCCATTGCCATGACTTAAGCATTGTATTGACGGCCCTTTGTTGAATGGTTATTGACACGCTTGGAAGTAATGACTCGTAGTCCTTATGTTTACATTGAAACACGTTTTGTTTTATCTATACCACAGTCCCTCCCGGAGGAACTGTGTCTACAAGTATCATATTGAAAAGACACATTCGACATCGAATTTCGGGGACTGACTGTTCAATGGTTGAGGAAGTGTGGTCACTTTCATCCGTAAGGTCAATGAACTTTGTCTTTGGCGATTTTACGATCGTTCAAAATAGTAACTACGGTTTTATCCACACTTGAGAACAACGGTAAACACATATATGGTTTCGGCGCTTTGCCTACATGATAGATGTAAAATCCTACCCCACACTGGGTGGAACGCCATGATTATGTCACTCAAAGTCACTGGCCAAATTCATTGATTCACTTCCGAATATGGCGAGTTTGATAGAACGTTGGTTGAGGTCTGCAGGTGTAGGTGTTCGACCATGCTGGCACATGAATAGGGCATTGGAGATAGCCATATCTCATACTCCACCCTCCCTCACATATTTTATGTATTATAAGAGGGGTCTTAACGCATTTCATTTACATTACAGTGCTTTATGGATCTTGGTTTGATCACGTACTAGGATGGTTCAGCAGAAGACATGAAGACAATATTTTATTTTTGAAATACGAAGACGTTTGTCGTGTAAGTTTTATTCAACCTGAGACCATTATTAGTGGTCTGAGATTCAACTTAACTGTATAGGATTTACGAGGGCATTAATACCGCTTAAACATAACTGAAGAACACCTTCAACACACACACACTGGCATATACATATATACACTGTCACCATGGCGACCAATAACTACGTTTATTTATTACAGGCACCTGTACATTACATCAGTGAAATAGCGGAATTCTTAAATACGGACCTGTCACCGGAAGTTATTAGCCGAATTGCTAAACATGTACATTTCTCTAAAATGAAGCGCAATCCAATGACAAACTATTCTTACACCAAGAATTTCAAAACTGCCGATGACTTTTTTCGCAAAGGTAAGTATTGCGCCCTCATATAATAAATAGTACAAGCTAGCTTCATTGCTTCAATATTTCAGCTTTTGTTGCCATAGCAACGTATCTTATGATTTCTCGTGGTGATTACAATAATCAGAGGGATGTGTTCTGCATGTAATACAAAATAGAAATGTAACTATAATTCTATATTAGTTTCTTCTGCTTTCTTAAATACTTTATATTTAAAGCGAACAAACTACTGAATCATGTCCATCACATTTTTCTCTTACTTCCTGTAGGCAAAGTGGGCACGTGGAGAAATTATTTTACTGTGGCGCAAAATGCTGCCTTCAATGAACTCTACGATCTCAAACTAAAGGGAACTGGTCTGGCTTTCAGTTTTACATAAATCTCCTTTGTCTTGAAGAAGTGAATGGTGTTTGCTTATGAGCCGAGGTCATTGCATTCTCGGTATAAGTGGTGAAAAAATCAAATTGACTAATACATCTTTCTATATGTAGCGCCCTCTAGTGTTGAATTCTTTTTTTTGACGTTAATGGGAAAAAAATACTGTTCAGGTCGTCTATAATATTCTTCGGACCTGTAGTGGTCTGTCGCACTGAATGACGTTGCTTCCTACGTCATTTTGAAATCATGTTTCGTTTCGTCACTAGAGGGCGTGGGAATGTGTATATGCAGAGTATAAAGTACCACTTCGTGTACATGGATTAGTCCATTTAATTGGTGACAACTTGAGATGTGCAAATAATATTTCCTTTCATTTTAAAGGTACAATCATCTACATATAAGAGACTGTAAATACAAAACTCGTTGCTTGGGGAAATCACTTTTATATGAAAGGTAGTTAATTTGATTATTATATAAACGGAAGAAGTATAAGTGTAATGTTTAACAAGAATCAACATATTCCAGTCTGGTCTCTGCTGTCTCTGATATATGTATATTCAATGAACTTCAAAGTTTGTTTTTCTCTAAATTCCAAATAAAGAATAATCTATTTTCTTTTTATAACCATTGGGAAAATTACATGAACCGGTATTTTTACATCACCACAATCGTCGTTGTCGTCGCCACAATGCAATCATAGTACTACAGTACCACGTTCCAACCATGGCACCACCTTGCAGTCATGGTAGCACGCTCCAATCATGATACGACATTGCAATCATGGCACGACACTAAACCATGGCACCACATTGCAATCATGGTACCACATTGTAATTATGGTACCACACTGCAACCATGGTACCACATTGCAATCATGGTACCACATTGTAATTATGGTACCACATTGCAATCATGATACCACCTTGTAATCATGTCACCACATTGCAACCATGGAACCACATTGCAATCATGGTACCACATTGTAATAATCGTACCACATTGCAACTATGGCACCACATTGCAATCATGGTACCGCATTGTAATCATCGCACCACATTGTAATCATCGTACCACATTGCAACCATGGCACCACATTGTAATCATCGTACCACATTGCAACCATGGTATCACATTGCAATCATGGTACCACATTGTAATCATCGTACCACAATGCAATCACTGTACCACATTGTAATCATGTCACCACATTGCAATCATCGTACCACATTGCAATCATGGTACCACATTGTAATCATGGTACCACATTGTAATCATCGTACCACATTGCAATCACTGTACCACATT